CATTGATAATGTAGAATATTAATTTTGTTTTCAGCCTAGTATTACAAAAATCAGTTCGTCAGAATTATAATTAAAAATGCCTTTTTATTAGTAGTGGTCCACAAATTAGAAGTTTTACAACGAGGCCACAGAAAGTCTCTAAACAAACATGACCGAATTTACTCGCAGTTCATCCGTTCCATGAACCAATTAATTAAAATGCAGAAATATTTTAATTAAGTTCAAAGCTGACCAAAAATAAACATAGTGACAGGGTTAGCGTCAGTGCAATACTGTGACGTCACATATTGCATGTGTAGTGTACTGAAAGTAAATTCAATTTACTCTGTACTGATTTGATTTTGAAAATTATTTTGTAGGTGATAATTAAAATGAATCACGTTCTTTTACATATATACATACATACCTTCATGCCTGTCTCCCATGGGGCTAGGCAGAGACTATGGAATACCAATTTCAATATTCTTATGAATATGAAAATTACTATCTTTTTACATACCTAAATAAGTCTTGCATATGAATGACAATGATTGTATAAATATGGAAACAATACCTCACCGACTACTACCTCTTCACCAAAAGGTGAAGAATCATTCACCAGAAGGTACTGACGTTTGGTGGAAAACATGGTTTTTCATGGAAACCCGCTACAGCTTGTCACTGCAACCTCACCTTTATTGCGTTCTTAACAAGAGTGTGCAATTTGTTCATGTTTACACTTCTTATTTCGATCCCTTGATAAATGATACGCCATGTCAGATGTTTCCCCGGTTCGAGTTCGCCTTTGCACAATTGTTTCATCTGATATCAGAACAAAGCATCGTCCTTTTGTTTGTGAATACATTGTCGTTCCGCATTTTAAAGAGATTGTTACATTATTTTATTTTGATCCCAAAGATCCACTGATTCGTAAAATGAAATGCTTTATTTGGGAGATGTTGTGTAATTCAAATTGAAATTGATTCAAATAAGTACATACTTGATACATTTTTACGACATTTTTCTCTGATAAAATAACACAATATCTACCTACAGTGAAATTTTAGCAAACAAAACTGCATATAAATGAAATATTACTACAAAAATATAAATGAAAAAATAAATAAATAACTACTAACTACATACAACAACTACACTTGGTTCTGCCCGCGATTTCGTACGGGCAATTCCGTTTTCTCCCGTTCCTGTAGGATGTTCAGGAATTTTCTATCTTAAAAACCTTCTCCAAATAGGTAACAATAAATACAACAAAAAAAAAAGAATTAGTAATTAATTAATTGAAATCGGTCGAGCCATTCACGCGCGAAAAATGGATTCATTTTTATATAATTATCTAAATTAAAATTAGATTTAAACCAGTGAATAAAAAGAAACTAACGTAAACCACATTGTTATAGGTTATTAACAATTTATTGTTGAGAACATATTACAACACCAAACTTATAACTACAATAAATCGTTCATAGTACATAACGAATTCCACAAATAAATTAAAAGTAAGTAACAGTTCTTTGTTTAAAGTCCAGTCTTTAGTACTTACATCAACAATTCGTACCTAGATTATTTCGTCTGAAACCTCGCGTACAATTGAAAATGGGATCCTAACAAGAATACTTAGAAATAATTTTCTCTAACAACTTAATTTGCTTTTGTTTTAAAACAGTTATTAGCATATCAAAAGTTTGTTAATTTATTAATTTGTTGCGAGAATTTTTGGTAAGGTACTTTGTTTGTGCTGTCAGTTTTTTGTATGTTAGTCAGTTTTTTTATATCTTGTGGTGCTCAAAGAGTAACACTTTGTACAAATCTTGATCATGCAGTTTTTCTGTTCAGTTTTTAGAAAACTATTTAAATATTGCAAGCTTTCATAAGCCACGGTGACCACTTACCATTAGGTGTATTTTTTTGCCACTTCCACTGATGCATAGACTGATAGACTATTATTTATTTTGTTTTTTTGACATTTCAAAAGTATCAAATTGTGATTTAATTGAAATAAATAGCATGGGTTATATTGATAAAAAGTAATAGGATCTACTTTCATTTACTTAACCTTTTGGATTTAAACTTACTCTCGTGTAATAATCAGACAATCTCAAGTCCTAGGTGCTATACTATCTCCATCTTATTATGGACGATAAGAATTCATTTGTTAAATCAGTTGTCCGGTGTTTTGTTGCCTGGCTATCCGTTACGACTTATTTGATAGTGTGCTGTTCGAAGCATTTACAAGTTTCACTTTGTTGGAAATCGGTTCAAAAACTGATAGTTAGTTGTGTGAGGATTTTTTTTAAGGGGGGAAAATCATCGAATGGCTGCTCCCGCCTGGGTGAGAATGGAGGGAGTGTCCGACTCTTACTGACTAAAAACCACCCCGTTCCTTCTCCTGCACGTCGAGCCGGAGCCCCGTTTACCCGTTAGGTTCTCCGAGACTCCGAATCGGTCCGCGACTCCGAATCGGAGTTGGAGGAGTTGTGTGAAGATAGCTTAAACTTAATAGATGGTCATGCAAGCATATAAACATCATAGTTAGAGCATTTGCTTATAGTACTTTTTGGTTCCGAATTTTTCTATGGCAATTTAATCTGCTGTGTTATATATTCATAGCACACGTCTATCTTATAATGCAAGTTAAGATAGTTAAAGTAAAAATAAACGAAATACCATAAACTAAATAAAGTCAGTGCCAACCTTGAAACAGTCAAACATAAAAGAACCAACAAGAGATTTTACTTTCAGAATATTAATGACATTCGTTATAGAAATAATTGCGTAAAGGGAGGACGAGTCGAAAAATTGTGACGCAGAAAAAAAGTTTGAGTCTGTTCGAAAATTAGAGACAGAAATAAAAAGCAATCCTTCTTTTTCAAAATGAAATGTCAAGTTTTGCTAACGACCCGCGAAGCCGCCGAAATTTGCAAACAACAATTCAAAATGTAATTGCTTGAGTTATAGGCGTTAGACCCCAAGATTTTTTGCCTTGTGTTAGCTATTATAAATCGGAAGGGGTTTTTAGATCAATTGTTGGAAGGGTTCGGTATCGTAAAGTTTTTCAAGTAATTAAATTATGTTTTTTTGATACCAAAATAAATATATAAGAGTAATTATCAAAAGGTAGGCAAGTGTAATTATAATAAACTGAAGAAAGATAATTATGTTCGTGTATTTAATACAATACATATAAATTCTACATGGACGAATAATTTCACAATAAAATTGAGTTTGAAATTAAATATTTTCCCTGAGTAGAATAAAACATATTAATTATGAGCTTGTAATGATATTTTATGGTATTATTTTTAGTTTAATATTGACACATACTGCTAATATAATTATAACGTACTTACTACTTAATTCTAATCTAGAAACAACAAAGAACCTACACAAATAGTTATCAAATACCTATGACCTACAAACTCGTACTTACTAAAGTCCTTAAAAATACATAATACTTAACAAATTCCATATCAACTAACAAAATAACTGACATCAACCTAGTTGGGTAAAGGCCAGAAGTGTCAAAATCTTACCCACGTGATACACCTACAATACCTACATACTCCGAGACTTCAATAATACGCCCACATTTGAAGTGTGGGAGAGCCATGCTTTGGCATAAACGGGCCGGCTTGACTGGAGCGACCCCACGGCCTCACATAAAACTGATGTAAAATAACGCTTTTTTTGAAGGGGGAAATCATCGAATGACTTCTCCCGGAAAGGGAATGTCAGACTCTTACTGACTAAAAACCATCCCGTTCTTACTCTTGCAGTTGGAACCAGAGCCCTGGCAATCCGTTAAGTCCTCCGCGGCTACGTATCGGCATCAGCCTTATTGGGCCTTAGTGGTCTGATGGCTCTTTGAGGCGTGCGTGGAACACGACGAGCCGTCCGCTCGGGTCTGGTTCTGGTCGGGCGGCGAGGTACCCATGCTCGCCGTCTGCAGGCCCGTGCTTACGGTGGCTGGAGATCGTCCCGCGATCCCCGACGCCCGGAGTGTCCTTCGCGACGGCTGGGTTGTAAGGAAGTAGTGCTTTGCTCCCAATGTAAAATCTCACCTATCGTCAAATTGATCGTCGATCATGTAACTTTTCTAATGTTGCGGGTAGCCATGGACGGCGCCAATTACTTACCATCAAGTGATCCACCTGCTCATTTGCAACCCTATATCATAAAAAGGAATCCCCACATCGCCCTATTTTCCTTAAAAACAAGGCTTACACTCGTTTATTAGTTCCAAACTGCCACAAGTCACTATCGATACCCGAGTTGGGTATTATTTTAAGAGACGCCCCGCACTTTACAAGTGCAGTTACAGTAAAAGTTTGGCGAAAACGAGCGAAGAGATTTGTGCGTCCGTAGTTAAATGTTCGGTACCGAAACTGTACCGTTTTGGGCATTGTGGGGGCGTTGTTTGGTACAAATTGCAGGTTATTTTTTCTGAAAGTAGAAAGTGTGATAATTTTGTTGGTTCTCGGTCAGTAACTGCGGGTTTGTATTGGACATTTATACCTACTTGGTTTTGTTATTAAATTTATTGGCGATCGCTATTATTCTTTATTGTTTTTGGTATTTTTCATTTCATTCCATTTGGGAATTTTTATTGCTATCATTTGATGAAAATATAAATTTATTGGTACCTACGTATTATTTTTATGACACACATTAAGAGTATGTCGTAACCAAATATTAAAATTATCAACATCAAACAGAAAAACATTGTTGTAGTTTGATTCGTTAATCGCTTCTCTCATGTAACCGGAAACTCGTAATAGTGATATCAAATAAGATACGATAGCAAACAAATAAGACATACTGAAAACAATCATACATTATATCAAATATCGTTTTCCTTAAGTGATTTGATCGTATTGGAGACAATTTGGCATTATTCAATTTTGTACTACAATAATTTATTGAATCTCGCTAATATAAGACTATAAAATTATTGTTTAAATATATAATTTTGAAGTAAAAATAAAATAATATGTTTGTTGCAGTGTTCAAATCCCAGACTTCGCTGTCGACTGACTCTGGGTTGTGCACTGAACGAGGACTGCGCCGCACCCACATTGAGCTAATTAAACCTCCAGGGAAACGCATCGGACTTAAACTGGCAGGTATGTGACCAGTATACTATTGAATGTGATTTTATAAATTTAATGCACGGAAAATGTCCTTAAAAGACAGAGACCATAGGAGTCAAAAACGAAAAAAAGAAATGTATGGTTTTAAAGACTGCCTCATTGGCCGAGTTGTCGCAAGTACGACTGCCGGACAAGGCGTCTCGGATTCGATTCCCGTGTCGGGTAAAGTATTACTGGGTTTTTTTTAAATATGCTCAGTAAGTAGTAGTACGGAGTCTGGAAATGTGCCCGGTATATGGCAATAGGCACACCTTCTATTACATGGGACGTATAACATAAATAGTGAAAAGTGGGTGTTACGTTGTACAGTGGCATTAAGTGCCGTAAGGGGTAGGCAGAGGTGCGCAACCACTGCCTACCCCTTCTGGGAAAAAGGCGTGATGTTATGTTATTTTTTAAAGTTTTGCACTTAACGGATAAGTAGTTCAGCTAAATCTGGTACATGGTACCAAATAAATTTGATTAACGTATGTATAGGTTCTAAGGTATTATAATATGTTTCAGTCACCATATTTTTTTAAAAAACTCTCATTTTATCTTTTCAGTTAAGTTTTGGTAGATACCAAAAACTTGCCAAGTTCCAAAGTTTAATTTTGAGAATCCTTTGTTCTCGTAAAGGAATATTTTATATAGATCACCGATCAAACTGAGCCACGTTAGATTAAAATTCTTTGGTCAGAATGTGGGTTTTCCTCCACGTGTACACTTTGCCAAAGATTAATGTTTGATACTAAACTACAAATAAAACACAACTTGACTTAGTTCCCCGAGGGACGACCGACAGTGGATTTATAGAAAAGCAATTTATTTCGTGTGATAGTTGAAACGTGTGCCATAAAGTGATCGAAATTATGTCGAAAAGATTAACTTACGTTTTCCTTATCCTCGCCAACATAAAAGCCACTTAGAATTTATCTATTATTTTATGAAAACTTATTTTCACTTTTCGAAAAGACGAAAAAATTTACCTACCTTGACAATGTGGGCTTCCTATTATATAGGCAAGTGATAACTCTAGTACTATTCCACCGCAAACACTATTAGAACTCACCAAAAAAATCTACATACTTTTAACGAAACCATATTTCGAATTCGAAATTCAATTCCGAACCAATCTGGTTAGCAAAAAGGCAGAAACTAAGAATAACATAGCACATTTAATAAGGAACGACATGGCATTTTCCAACAAGAATCAAAAATTAATCCAGAAACATCTTAGCTCGGAGATTTACGTTGTTAGTCGGGACGGAGCCAGATTTCTCAAGACGTACTGGCTTTGTATTACATTTGCTAGGACACATATGCTAGAAACTTAATCTTATTGAGGAAAGGTATTTTGTGGCGGTTCTTAGTAAAATAATATGTCATTATTTTCTAAAATGGCTTACTTATTGGAAAAATGGAGATCAATTTTGACTCTTTGATTTTTGTGTGACAATAATGTAATCCAAATATTTTTTTACATTTTTTATGATTGTGTGGATCCTGTACGAAATATTTAAAAATAATCCTTGTTTTCAAAGGCATACATTTATAAAACTGAACGATATTTCAAAAAGTGCGATTTATTTTATTTCATTCCATTTTATTTTATTTTTTATTTCCAGCATATTTATTTCTTTGTCGAAATCCTGATTGGAAGTCTACAAACAGAAGCAACATGGCGGCTACTTTTAAAAACAAAAATATTTCGGAAAAAGAATGATAAATGATGAAATTGATTGGACCATACTCGATGAATATTCTCAAAAACAAAATAGCGCGTATGAATCAAAGTTGCAGTGAGAGAGTAAAAGAAATTTTTCACTTTTAATTCACAAATTAACTTGGCAAGATAAATTGTATTCCGCGTGCATAAATAGGGGATTTCGAGCTGTTTTTCACGGTTGTGACGTCATGTACGCACCGTATTGCCTTAATGTGCTGTGTCACTCGATTAATGATACCTACCCTTGCGTACACGGTTTCAACATGTACAAATTAATATTTTCCACACTTTCGTATCGAGATTTATTTGACATAATAAAGTTGGAAATGACTGACATGTATAAATTAACCTAGCTATAAAAATAATACTGTAGTGTTAATATAAAAATAAAGCTTTGTGTCATAGAAATTGTTTCAAGAAGATTCTTAGCAATAAGATCAGTATTCATAATGAAATCCTTGTCATAAATCTATCATTATATTTTTTATAAATAGAATCCTACGTATATTGTTACAAATACTACAAAAACATCATACTTATTGGAAAACAATTATTGTACAAATCAAATTTAGATTGATAGAAATTGGCCCGTGTAGACTTCACAATAATAACACAAGAATAATCTTGAATCTGAAAGTAATCATCAAATATTTATTCTGATTTGTGAAAGCCTTGAGGGCGATGTAGAGAACACAAAGCTAAAGTACCTGTCATACAATTTCCGTGGATTAAATCAAAAGAGAAAAACTGGATAAGAAAAAAAGCATTATTTCTAGAAAGAAAAGTCTTAAGAAAACTTATCCAAGCGTTATTAATAAGTTCCAACTTGTGTAATGTTCTGAGAACGACGATAAGTGTGGCGTTTACATCAAATCTAAAAGAAGTCTATTGTTGAAGAGTGATGTTCCTCACGACATGCCTAATAATTCGAATAGATTGATGTGATCGTGGGAGGTGTTCGTGCCTAAGTTACAGCTACGCGGAATTCTGAATATATGTCTCAGACTGGGTAATATAACTAAACGTACTCGCTGTGTGGGTGGTTCATCATTCCTACTCTATCAGATAGTTTGCTGTGCTTCAGAAGCCATCATACTCAATTGGGAAATAAACATTAATGATTTTCGTAACGTTTTATTTTTTCTTTCTATAGCCTAACTATAAGGCATTTTTTTTTTTTTTTTTAAGGGGGCAAATCATCTAATGACTGCTCCCGCCTGGGTGAGGCGGGAGGGAGTGTCAGACTCTTACTGACTAAAAACCACCCCGTTCCTTCTCCTGCACGTCGAGCCGGAGCCCCGGTTACCCGTTAGGTTCTCCGCGACTCCGAATCGGCATCGGCCCTATTGGGCCCCATCTGTGGTGGTCTGATGGCTCTTTGAGGCGCGCGCGGAACGCGACGCGCCGTACGCTCGGGTCTGTTTCTGGTCGGACGGGGAGCCACCCATGCTCGCCGTCCGCAGGCCCGCGCTTACGGTGGCCGGAGATCGTCCCGCGATCCCCGACGCCCGGTGTGTCCTTCGCGATGGCTGGGTTGCGAGGAGGCAGCGCTTCGCTGCCTCACGCGTCCCGCCTCCTCCTTAGCTAGCATGACTGCTTCGCAAAAGGAGGAGACGGCATCCCAATCCCCCTCGCTCCGCATCATGGCCTGCACTAGGCCCGGACGCGAGAGGTCGCCATCGCCGATCACTTCCCTGAGGACACGGCGGTGCTCAGCCCACGAAGGGCATTCTCCCACCGTGTGTTCCACCGTGTCCTCAGGGCGGTCCTCGCAGTGATGACACCCGGGCGTTTCCTCCCGCCCCATCAGACACAGGTACCTCCCGAAACTGCCATGTCCGGTGAGGACCTGCGTCAGGCGGTAGGTGAGGACGCCGTAGCGTCTCTCAAGCCACTCCTCAAAGAGGGGACTTACCGCTGCGATGGCAGCGAGCCCAAACTATAAGGCATAGTAACTCATAAAATGATATATAACTATTGTGGCGGAACCTTAAGTCTGATGTACTTCCTGACCATAAAGACAGGTCACTACCCACTCACTTTGATAATCCGGATACCATCAACAGAGCTTTTTTGGATGTCCCGGGAAATGGCAATGACAACTTTACACTAATGGCTCACTTTGGTACTCATAAACATGGCTCAGCTGAATTCTCGCTAAGAACAACTAACCAGGAGACAGTTCTGAGCATAATTAGAAGTCTGAGGTCGAACGCGCAGGGAGTCGATGGTATCAGTCTGGATATGATAACGCTCACATTGACAAACACATTACAAACAGTAACTGATATCATTAATAGATCTATAGAGTCGCGCACATTCCCCGGACTCTGGCGACGTGCTATAGTGCGCCCTATACCAAAAGTTAGCGATCCGGTTACTGTGAAGGACCTTAGACCGATCAGCATTCTTCCCTGCCTGTCTAAGATTTTGGAGCGAGTGGTGTACTTGCAGGTGATTGAATATCTTGAGTCTAACGAAATTCTCCCTGACCTTCAGTCGGGGTTCCGTGGGGGACGAGGCACTGCAACCGCACTCTTGGATGTAGTGGGAAACATTCTAGAGGCGCGCGATCGAGGTGAGGGCGCTATTCTGGTTCTATTGGATTTTTCGCGAGCTTTTGACGCTATTAACACCAATCTGCTTCTATCCAAGTTGGCATACTATGGCTTTGACAGGGGTGCCGTAGAATGGTTCAGAAGTTATCTGACTGATAGAACACAGAGTGTGCATATTCGTAGGGATGATGGATCTACTGTGTCATCGGCTCCGCTACAGGTGTCCAGAGGAGTCCCACAGGGATCGATACTTGGGCCGTTACTGTACATTCTCTACAGTGCTGACATTGCCGGATCCTTTTTTAACTGTAAGTACCATATGTACGCGGATGACATCCAGCTGTACACAGCCTTCAGGGGGGATGATACTGCCGTGGCGGTGCGGAGGGTTAACGAGGATCTGGAACGAGTGGTGACATGGTCTGAGAATAACTCCTTGGTTTTGAACACATTGAAATCAAAATACATGGTGATGGGTACGAGGAAACAAGTTGCAGCTATACTATGTGCTACTCCAGTAATTATAATTAAGGGACAAAAAATTGAACGAGTAGAGCAGGCCTGCAGTTTGGGTTTAACCCTGGATCCAGAGCTGCGATTTGAGCCTCATATAAAAAAGGTAACAGGGAATTGTTTTTACAGGCTTAAGGTACTATACGGCATACGAAATTTTCTAAGCATTCCTTTAAGAAAACAACTGGTTGACTGCCTGATCCTGTCTAAACTTAACTACTGTGATACAGTCTATGGGCCCTGCCTACTTGCGAGGACTGACAGGCTGATCCTGCGAATTCAGAATGCCTGTGTTCGTTTTTGTGTGCAGATACCGAGTAGGCATCATGTGACACCGTACATAAACAAGCTCAACATACTAAAGATGGCTGCCAGGCGTAGGTCGCATTTGGCAAGTCTAATGTTCAGCATTACAACAACCCGTAAGCCAGAGTACTTATATAAAAAACTCACCTGGCGTCAAACTCGATACGAGTCTGGTCTCCGTACAGATGTCGACCCGTTAAGAATACCGCAGCACAGGACGGTGGCTTTCAGGGGCAGTTTTAAATTTGCCGCGACACGCTGCTGGAATGATCTTCCACCGCCACTGAGAGGCCTAAAGACAATGCAATCATTTAAGTACAATGTTAATAGAGTGTTGCTGCAGCAGCAACTATATCTGCAGTAACTAGTAGTAGTTTACTAGCATTTTAACATTGTTGTTGTTTTACCTCTGGGGTCCTGGCCTGCCGTCACGGGTGGAATCATTAAATGTTGGCATTGCAAGCGCAAGTCGCTACCTACTGCCTCCTGTCCGCCGAGTCCCTGTGCTTGATAATGACCTGGCTCGGCCTATTATCGCTGCCTTATGTCTGTTGTGTCGTTGTTTCGCTTCATATGGTCAAACTAAAAATGTACAACACAATATAGGATAGCCTCTAATATTGTCATACTAGAACATTACATTAAGTACAACATTTATTCCTTTTACACCCACACTTTTACAACTTTATTACTATTATTTTATATAAAAACCAAAGTACTCGATTGTTTAGATTGTTAAAACTAACTATATTAATATACTCACTATGTTATCAGCATGTTCTCCCATAGTGCCGCACGGTGTGGTGGTTGATCTGCGGTGTCCCAGCACTTTTGTGATTGCACTCTCTTTCGTAAATGGATAATACTTTTGTAAAGGTCAGTAAAACGCGAGGACGCCATTCTGTTACCGCATCGTCGCGTGCGCTTGGGGTACATAATGTCAATGTCAGATTGTCAAAGCAAAGTCCACGATGTCAAATTCATAGATTCAGTGATCCTTGAAATATCTGTGTTATGTATGATAACAATGTTTCTATTACGTCTTATTTTTATTATATTCTATTTAGTAGTTATCTATTTATTTATATGATATCTAGGCAACAGGCTAGTGCTGAAAATCAGCGCCGCGACTCGAGCAATCGCGCTCGTGACACGGCATTTTAGCTGAGCACTGGCCTTTTTGCACCGTGTACACTGTTGTTTTTTTTTATTACTATTTTTTTTGTCCTTTCTGTAATGGTGCAAATAAACTGTTTTTCTTTCTCTTCTTCTTTCTTTCTTTCATATCGATGTCGTCGTCCACTTTATTTTCTATCAAATTTCGTCAAACTCTTTTGAAATCTGTTTCGTACCAACAAGAAGAACTGATAAGTGAAAACCCCGCGTTACCTCAAAATTCATTATAGGAAATTCAAATTAATTAATGATTGAACGATAAGGGTAATTCGCTAGCACTAATTACTTCATAAACTCGGTTTAAACGTGAAAGCCTAAGGTTGTGAGAAATTCCAATATTAAATGAGCTTGATAGGCATCAAAGTTATGTGATCAATAAGTCAAACGATATACTGTTTGTTCATTCAATATTTCATTTATACACAAACATTTTTAAATAAATAATATTTTTTAACTGGAATATAGCTTGGTGTTGATTTACATAAAAATATTTTTTCTCTTGAAAACTACTGCAGTGTGAAAGGTATAATAGTGACCGGGTTTTTCAATACGTAAAATACTATAAATTCCAATCTCATACCAACCCCATGCACCACATCCCGAGATCGTTACTTTCCCTAAAATGAAATACTATCAAAAAACAATGGACTGGTTGGAGTAAATGCCTCCCATAATGCCATGGTTTGCCTTCCATGGGCGCCGTTTGTTGTGGCCTATAAATTGTACGAACCCCATAAATCTTATGACCACTGAATTCTTTCGCAACATACTGGAATTAAAAGCATATTCCTGTGGTTTATCTTTTCAAGCGAATGGCTATTTTGTGAGATATCGCTCTCTGCTTTATGTGTGGACGTGTGAAAGTTTTATACGGCCTGTTTTGAATGTATGAATATATCAGAGTTTATCTCGAATAAAATTTTGTTTACCTAATTCTATGTGATACAGGATTAACCTTTTTGCTAGGCATAGTGCCTTTACTTTTTGTCTTTTAAGTCTAAATCAGAAATTCCATTGGTACGTGATCTGGTTGTAATAATTTATGAGAGTTCTCAGAGCTTTTTATGACAATAATATTGTGTATGATATACTTGTAGCTTATATAAAGGATGGTATATACTTACAGCGAGTTTTAGAGAGAATTAGTCACTTAGAAATAATACTGGACGAGTGAATTTAAAAGATCACACGAACACTACTAATAACATAAACGAGCCATCGGTTCAAAGCTACATTAACCAGTTTATCCACATCCACCAAAATTTGATAAAACACCCTAACGAGCCAATCACAAAGCATAATGCAATATATTCTATTTACATTTTACAAACCTCCAAAAAATTACAATAAAATTGGGCAAAAAAATCAAATTTAATATTCGTTTAAAAAATGATTACTCAAGGCAAGTTCGTTGGAATTTACACGAGCAGACTTCTTTTGCCAATCGGGGTTAATCCGAGGCAAATTTACATATTTATTGGGTTCCCTCGGGACAGATGCGGTGTCTAATCGATAGAGACCAACTTTCGGGTTTGATTGCGATTGGGCATGCCCCCAACGTCGGCGTCGGTGTAAATGTATTTAAAATGTTAATTCCGGGTACAATGATGATCAGTAAATTAATATTTGTCGTGTTATTCGGTGATCTACATGCTGATGGTGTTAATTTCGAGTCAAATTCTAGGAAGATTGTTATTTGATGGAGCCATGTTAAATAGATCGTTTGTGTCGTGTCAGTGCTTGTTTTAGGATTTATTTACTTTTGTATTGGTTTTAGTTGAGCTTTGTAGTTTCTCTTTTTGCATTAATTTTAAGGGCGATGAATAATATCGTACTTGTTTTTAGTTTCGTGATCGCCATTAAAATGGTAACTGAATCTGGATATAATGTACCTCTCATTAAACACACGTTCCGTGCAAATTAAAATGAACCCAACCAACATTTTACTGCTTTTATTATAATTTCTCATAGTATTCAACCTCCAAATACAACACTAATTAAATTAAATAGGCAAAAAAAGAATAACCTATAAAAACACAACGAGCCAAAATAACTGACCCACCGACCTTAAAAAAACTTTTTAACTATATAGAGGTACAGTGTACAATGGCGTGCATTTTCATAACAAGCTCAGAAGCGCGAGTTAATTTCGTCCGCTGGAGGATTTACGGCGTAATTACCACGTCAAACGGTACCGTCGCTAAATCTGTACACATTTCTATGCACTTTATATGCGGGAAACAATAGCAGAAGGTTTACTTTGAACAAAGGGGAATGCTTCACAGTAAAATGTAGAATGGTTGCTCATGGGATACGGATATTAAACTAACTGTGAGTGACGTTTATAGGTAGGTTGTGCTTTGTGGAAGAGGTTCAGTAGATTTTGCTGCAGCGTTAATGTGTGCGGTGTTTAGTATTGTTTCTAGTTAGGTTGTTAGTTTTTAATTTGACTGCGTCGTTGGCCGAGTGGTCGCAAGTGCAACTGCTGGGCAAGAGGTCTTGGGTTCGATTCCCGAGTCGGGCAAAGTATTACTACTGAGATTTATAAAAACCCAGGTTTTTTATTTTATAAAAATCTCAGTAGTAGCACGGAGTCTGGAAATGTGCACGGTATATGACAATAGGCTCACCCCCTTTTATATGGAACTCATAACATAGTTAATGTCTACCCCTTTAAGGATAAAACGCGTGATGCTATGTCATATTTTGTCAAGGTTTATGTATCCTATCAATCTATCTTTATAACCGTTTATTCTAATTTGTAGTCAAGTTTACTTTACATCGTGAGGGTCAAAATCCAATTCGTACAATCAGATAATAATAGTTAAGTAGTTATAGTTCCTTCGCCCTTCGAATTTACTTGGTATCTATTGGGTAAAAGTAGGTTCTATTCAAAATATTACTATGAAACTGAAATATAAACCAATTTTGATGATAAATGCTTCAATAAATACTTCTTATATTCCGCTAGTATGACAAATACCGCCCGCAGTGACAAGTATGGCTGGCCAGCAAAAGTGTTCACTCAAATTAGAAACAAAGTTTACAATATAGACTTCCTTAACATTGTGGTTTCCGTTCTACATTCTTCTCTATTTCTTTTTTATTTTGTTTTATGACAACTTGAAATATGTCTTTTGTTGTGGTATTTGAGTTTATTTTTAAGTGTTCCCTTTGGAAAGTAGTTAGGTCATTACAACTGAGGGTGAAAAGGAATTTGTTATGACGCTTTATTGAAATTATTTTATGACTATATAAAAGTAATTTCATAGTATTTTTAGAGAAATATGTTTTGAATAATATTTATATATCATTTATATATTATATTAGCTTCTGCCCGCGACTTCGTACGCGCAATCCCATTTTGCCCCCGTTCCCGTTCGTGATTTACGGTAAAAAGTAAATAAAAGTACTCTATGTCCGTCTCCTGGTTCTAAGCTACCTCCCTGCCAATTTTCATCTAAATCGATTGAGGCGTTCTTGAGTTATAAATAGTGTAACTAACACGACTTTCTTTTATATTTATAGATATTCTCCATATAATATTCAAAACATTTACTTACAATTCTTTTGTTCCTTTATTTGTAGTAGTTGGCAATGTAAAAAACTAGTTTTAAATTGCCTACGAAGCATTATGTAATGTACCATTATTGTACCTATAGCAAATATTGTTTAAGTAAGAAAATACTATTTAAACAAGCTGACGTTTAAAACACGAAACCTAAAATTATTTCTTCTCTTTGTTTTTCTTTAAAAAAAACGTGCCCCACATTAAAATTTACACCTGTGTCGTGGGTACGTTTACACAACATACAAGTTCACATACACAATGACATCCAGAACCGAAACAACCATTTGTGGATCACACAAAGTGTTGTTCCGTGCGGGAATCGAACCCGCGACACGTTGCACGGCAGCCGGTTGCCCAGTCACCGCACCAACCGTGCAGTCAAAATTCGTAGCGTTAAATTAATCAACAGAGCAATGATTACATTAACTATCTCCATTAGAAAATCTAAAAATAAACCTGGCATTCGTTAAAGTGGACTAAATTACGTAACCGAGATCCATAACTTTAATGACAGTAAAAGATTAGTAAAACGAAGCCAGTCTAAACAGGAAACAACTCATAAAACATGTTATTAGCAAAGAAAATTATAATTAACCACAAATATATATCTCGTTGCCTGCCTCGTTGGCCGAGTGGTCGTAAGTGCGACTGCCGAGCAAAGGGTCCCGGG